CCACCCCCCCGGCACCCATCGGGTATCAGCACCCTGGCAGCCACTCGGACATCGTTCCCGAGTCTGTTCCCGCACCCCTTCCCTTCACCATGCCCGAAGCCAGAGCTATTTAGAGGCAGCTACTTCTCTCCAAATCCAGCTGCCCCCCGAACGTGGATGAACACAGAGAAACCCCCAACTGGCTTCCTCCTCTCCAGCCCAGCTCAGAAAGGCCACGTCGCTCAGTCAAAAGGGAGACGTTTCCTGGGGCTTCTACCAACTTTAAGTTCCTCAGCCCAGACCCTGCTCCTGGGCCTGGGTGTACCGTCACCCCCATACCTGCCTCCATAAACTAACTTACCTGCATTTCAGGTAGATTTGGTGCTACTACATCTTTTCCGGACACAGGCTAATTTATTCTCAGGGAAAAATACCTATGGCAGAAAGTGTTGCTCGTAGAGACAAACCAATCAATTGGGTGAGAATCAGGCACTTGATTGGGTTTTGGTTCATAAAGGCAGGCTGGAAAAGTTTCCAGGCTGTTGAGTTGCAGCGGGCTCAGAGTTGGACAAACGCCTTTCCCAGTGCGTTTGCTCATCTTTTACGCAGAGTAAGGAACCTTCAGCACCATCCTGTCACTTCTGGAAATCTGAGTTCCAGTCTGTACTTGAGGTTCTTTGGAAGTGGGTACGATCTCTTCCCTCATGAAGATGTTGTGCACCAGACATCAACGCAAGCACACAATACCAGAACTTAAAAGGAATTGGTTTCTTAATATGGTGCAGATATATAGTGCCCCTATTCACTGTGTTGTAACCCTTTACTATTTAATCTTTAGTAATTGCCTCAGACACTTGTTTCTAAATACTTAGTGAAGCAAGGCTAAAAGGAAATTAAAGGAGGGGGGAAACAAAAACCGGATTATTTTATATACCAAGTGGCACAGTGACTAAAGCCAAACCCAGCAACTTCCAAGCACAGCCCACTCACCTCTCATTAAAAAAAGGGAGGTTAGGACACTGGGTACTGTTCAAAACCAGTACTGAATGTCCAGACATGACTCAGTTCTGATTACAAAAGAGCCTCATGTTAACTTTCTACACAGTGACCTGGCTTACAGTGATTTCATTGTGCGATAACGCTTAGTTCACTGAAATAATAATTAAAAAAAAAAAAGCCCTTTTAGATTGATTTTGAAATAGTAGTGCAACAAGAAGCCAATCAAAACACATGAGAGTTTTATTTTTAATTATAGAACTAAAAAGGCTAATATTTTATTAACAGAAGGTTGCAAATTAAAAGGGAAATGCCAGAACTCCTTAATAATCTCCACTGTAAAAATGCAAAAGACTTGTGCTTTGAACATCGCCGTAACACACTACAGGATTACATCCTCCCTCCCCTGCCCCTCTCTCCCTTCTTTCAAGGGCTATTGACAAGTACCTCATTGACATATTTCACCTGAAACTCCAAATGACTATTCTAAAGCAGATACTCATCACAGTCGTTTTCAGCCCAAACAGTTTGTGCGTCACACAAATAAAAAGCAACTTTAAATGAGAAATACTCAGAAATTAACTACAGACATTACCATCTACACCGCAGATTTCACTTTTTACAGAGCAGCAGTTGAATGCAGGTATTTGATAGATCAAACATTCACAAATGCATCTCTTCCAATTTTTTTCTTACCCCTTTTCCTTTTTTTTTTTCTTAAAAAATAACCTTCAGCAGTCCACCAACTGCCTAGAATATACCTAAGCCTAGCTTTCCCTAGAGCTAAAAACTTTAACTCCATCATTGCAAGGCATCCTACCCCACAAGTTCTCACCGTATGATGCAGCGTAGCTTTAGAGGGGCTTATTTAAACTGGAACATATACAAGTTCTAAATATTTTACTTCCTACAGGGATGCCTTTCTTGTAAAACCACAAATACTTCTGTCAAAATCCTGACTTGAAAGAGGAATATGGATGAGCACCTATGATCGATGGTTTTCCTTCCACTATGGCTTGAAATTATTTTTGTTTGCAATGATGTTTAAAAGCATAACTAAGCTCATGTTGTCTCTAGAAAGTGTTTGAAAATAAAAGTAAAATCTAACGAGACACGTATGCATGGGATGGGACTGCTGTATCAGTAACTACCTCCCTTTCACATTTGGAGAGATGAAGAGCAGATTCTTCTGTAAACACACAATGCAGCATCGTTACGCGACCCAAGACAGCCACGTCTGAAGGACAAGCATGCCGCAACTTACAGCAGACCCAGAACGTAGCCTTGGCTTGGCAGTACTTAGCTTAGACCTGGTTTAGACAACTAAGGTGCAGACTGTTTCTCCAGCAGTTTTGCCAGAACTTGAGTATAATTTGGTTTCCACATCTAGCAAAAAAAAAAAAAGCGATTTATTAGGTTATTGCAGCGGACATTTTGGCACAGAAAGCAGGCACACTGAAGTATGCATCTGTTATTTCCAAAAAAGCCAAACAATTTCACTGGTCTGGTTTAGAGAACTGGCCTGGACTGCACAGAAGGCAGTGTTTAATTCAGACAGAGGACAGAGAGAAGGAGAAGGGCAGAAATAACACACCAGGGACAAATGAATCTGCAACCAGCTTTGCTCGTTTGTGTCAGGGAAACTGTACAAGGGAAGAAACTTCAGAAAACTAACAGTACAATCCACCACGCTACAAAGATCTCCTCTTGCAAGGCTCAGGAGAAGGACACACTGCTAAGATATCAAAAATCACATCCTTGTAATCCACTGGGTTCACAGGCTGTGAGCAAAGACCCAACAAATTCAAGAGGGAAAACTAGGACATTTTTGCTGTAAGCTTCAGCTGGTCACAGCGGATTAGAGGAAATCCTTCGGCCAGTAAGGGAAGCAATTGCAATGGAAAATCCCGGCTCCCACCAGGCAGCCGCCGCCATCCAGTGGGTACCGCTCGCGGGCACACAGACATGCACACCGAAATGAAGACAAGCATCTCGTTTTCAAGTTGAATTTTGTAAATGGAAAAAAAAAGTATAAAATCTATCCATACATTAACAAATACAGGAAGTTACATGATCCAGTTTACACCTAAATAATAGCAATCAGTCCATAATAAGAACAGGGAAAAAATTCCAATGCTGTAATTTGTTCAAAGTCACTACAGGGCAGAGGACGGCAGGGGGAGGGTGGTTGGCGGCTTCTTTTTGGTGCGTTGATAAAACTGGCTACCTTCCCTACTTCCAAAGCTATGAGACAATTTCAACAGACACGCATTAAGATACTTTTGAAATGCATCTGACTCTAGCATTAACACTGAATATTCAAAGGTTCATATTATTACAGCATAATGTTTGCATACTTTTGCCTCCAGGAAAGGGCAGTGGGCTGTAGGTATTACCCAAGAGAAATCCTGCACCTGTCTTAGAATTTACAGCATTGATTGAGTTAAAGATTTTTATTTTATGATTTTTATCCATCTTGGAACGCTTAAAATTTGTGTATCCTCAGCTCAGACATTTACAAAGCATGCAGAGGCTGTTAGGGACATTTAGGAGGTTATGGAAAATGTGCTGGTGGGTATCGGTCTAATTTTAGTGAACTCACATCTACCGTTACATGCAAGCCACACCTGGCAGTAGTTTTCCCCTCACGCCTCCATTTATTGGAGGCCCCAGAAGACAAAGCTTGAATGAATAGGCATGGAAGCTCAGGTACCATTTTAAGGAACAAACCAAAACAACTACTAGCAGGGGCCAGCTTGTGGGAATGCCTGCCCTGCTACTGGTGTACCTGTGGGTGAACGGTGTCAGTCTAGGGCTCAGAAAAGACGCCTGACTGAACTTTAAAGGAAAAGGGAGGCACCTTAAACCCTGGAAAGACAGATTTCCTGTGTGTGACAGGTGTATCCAACATACACACACAAAGCAAGTGAGTAACCTGTGCTCATCCACCCAGAAGGCTGCACCATTTTTCTGAACACATAGAATACACAACCCCTTTTCAAAATAACAACAACAACAATAATAATAATAATAATAAAGCAGAAGTGCAGAATCCAGACTGTTGGGTGGTCTGTGTTTAAAAAACATAGGAAAGAATAAAAGCTAATGCTGTAAAGACAACTATTCCCTTTCAAAGCAAAGGCCACATAAAACTGTGTTGCTCAGTTTGGTTTTTACTTCATGCCACCTGTAAACACAAGACTGGATATTCAGTTTCTGGGAAGAAATGAAACCATTTTTACATCCAGAGTAAAAGAAAGGCCCTCCACTGCCTGGATCACAGATTACCCAGGAAAAGGTAGCTGGGGGAAGGCTTCCTCTTCTTGGTTACTCATTTCATTAGAAAGGTCATATCTGAACAAAAGAGCTTTCAATAAAAGCACAGAACATTTCTTGATGCTATTTCTGCCCTCTGTCTCTAAAGTTTGCTACGGGGACTAACACTTTCCATTCCTCACCAATGGATACATCACCTTTTTGGCACCACAGGTGGAATTTCTCCCTAACGTATAATTTTGCCTTATACAAAAGTCGATTGTCTAATCATGCAAATCCAACAGAATTCCAAAAAGTGCCACAAGACAGCTCAATTCTTTGCAATCTACTACCTAGTTTGTACACTGCCATAGGAACCTCCAAGAGAACAGACCGTCATCCTTACGGTGTACTTCATAATGGCGTTTCAACCTCTCTTTCTGGGGGGAGAGAATGGAAGTCCACCCCCTGGTTCCACTGATTTTTCACTCTCAGAGCTCTGAAATGCATGGAGATTTCTTTGATTTGTTGAAGACGTCTTCACTGAACTGACTGATTTGAGAAAAACTTACTGATTCAATTAAAGAGAAAATAAAGACAAAAACAGGTAGTGGTAGATTTCTCAATCTTCGCTCCTGTCCTTGGAGACTAGGGTAGAGTTTCACCGCTATTGCATTTTCCCCAGCTGGATCTTCTTCCAGGCCTCTGAAGCTGTGAAAATGCAGGAGTCAAGGATCCCAGCTACAGTGAATGTTCCTCCAATGATGGCACATATCTGGAAAGTACAGAGAGGAAATGGGTTTGTCAGTGATGAGGGAAACTACGCAGCTTGAAACTGAGGGGAAAGGATATTATTGCCTGCTGCTAGGGTATTTTCTGGAAGCATAGTAAGAAGTGGGTAACAGTACTGGGGACGTAATTACATGACAATCATTCAGGAAAACCATCCCCTACAGTGGAACAACTTAGTGCTATCCTGAACTCATCACAGCCTGAGCCAATCATAAATCCCAGCTCCTAGGAGCCTACAGCATGAATGCTGTTCCCTTCTGGGCTGAAGTCCACCTAAGAAAGCCTTCTAGAAGCTCTGTGTTGCTCATATCTTCCTACTACTGTTTTCTATTATAAATACCACGGCCTTGTAGTCTTTTCCCTATTTCACAAGATACAGCCTTTGCAAACAGGCAAAAGACACTTAAATAGCACGTGAAGGACAGTGACTAACAGACAAACCTAGCTACCAGTGACACCTACAGCTAAGTCTGTCTAACACTTTCCATTACAAGGGCTGCTTACAAAAGCACTGCCAACTTAACTGTTTGTGGGCCAAAGTTTTCCATGCAAGATGTCTCGGGTTGAATTATTTAAACACCAGTAAAAACATGTAATCATTTTCAAGTACAAAGCCTGATTAGCGTAACAGCCTACTTCAGTTCTCAAGTGCTAGAAAAGTGCAGAAGTATTCTGACATGTCAAACTAAAGGTACTTTGGCTTGGAGCACCCAAAATCAAGGGGCACCAGTTACAGACTTTGCAACGCATTGCTTCAATTCCCTTATCTATGAAAAGGGACAACGCCAAACTTGCCTCCCAGGGAAACTGCGAAGACAAACACATTTGAAGGGTTCAATGCCATGACAATAGTCATCCCAAAGCCTTTGGGGAAACATATGACTTGTACTCAGGACTGGGTTAGCACAAACCACCTGCTAGTAACAAGGCAGCAGTCAAATACTGTAGGATGTGAAGAAACGCTGCTCACAGGGCGCCACTCCACCCCACACACTGCACAAGGCAGGGTTCACACGGAAAGTATGACACACAACCATGTAACCTAATAACATTTAACAGCCAAGTTATAATTACACAGGACCTGGCATTTCCTAACTCCCACATTTTTGACTTCATAACTGTGATGCTCTTTTAATTTGGTCTTTACATCATGTAGGATTAGGGGGCTCTGAGAATAAGAGACACCAGGTCAGCGAGAAGGGGACAAGATACAGAACTCATCTCCTGAGAAGGACCTAGGACAAGAGGGATTTTGCTGTGAGCTAGAAGCCAAGAGAGAGAGAGGAACCCAAAATCAGCAAGCCAATGTAGGAGGGTCTCAGGGAAATGTAATACAACTGACACAGAAGGGCACCGGTGCCATGCTAGACCTACCATACCAGGTCTCTTCTCCCACACAGCACTACGCCCCATGAGCAAAGTTACAGACCAACGAGTAACGTAACAGCAGCAGCGTTCAGCTCGGCAGGAATTAGCAGCGGCAACAGAACAAACAGTTCATTAATGGTGAGTGAAGGCCACCAGAAATAAAGCGCTCATTTACATGCATATTTATAACTGGGACATAGGCGTTTAGTGAGCCTGGTGAAATGATGAGCTGCAGCAAACATGGCTTTTGCAGGACAGCTCGCGTTTCAGCAGCTAGAGGCTTCAAAAACCAGAGCACCAGCCTGAGGCAAAGTTGTTATTTTTAGGGGACAAGTCCAGCTCCTGCCCCCCTCCTTGCTATCCCTCGGAGCATGACGCAGGGTGACTTTTCAGGGAAAATGACCGCAATGGAGTTGGGTTATTTCAGTCCACAGCAGCTCAGCTGACAGGAGATGTTACACCGCAAGCAACAGAAAAACGGTCCAACACTAAGATTTTGCATCATATGGTAGGAAAATCTGATTTCAGTGCAGCAGTGCAAAGGGGTGGGGAATAGAAAAAAAAAAAAAGATTCATCTGCACAGCTCTGTACTGCTGAGTGTTTATGAGTCACACACACCTGGCATTCGCTTGGAGCCTGCCTCCCAGCACGCACACAGCCCTCTTGTTTCATCGCAACAAAAAAAACCTGGCAGCACCAGGGTTGGTCTCCAGGTCAGCACAGAAGCTGCACTACCGTATTTCTTTATCATCACAGTTCTAATACGTATGCAGTGTTGCTGCTTAGCAGCACTGAAGGAAGTTAGGCATCACGCACTTATTTATGAGTTTTATACTGGGAATGGTCTGCATTTGGCTCCATGAGGTTACAGTTTGACTGAGACCCAACTATTGAAGGAGGAAGGAAAAGAAATATAGAAGTGTAATAATTACAGCAGTGAGAGACCATGCAATGTGGGGTACACACAAGGGGTTGGAACAGAATACAATTATAGGATAGCAGCCGAGATGCAGGCTGAAGTCTGAAGGAAAACAGGAGTGGGTATGTATGAGGAGGCAAGGCTGCAAACAAGATGACAGAAAGGCAAGTGTCAGATACATAACTATTGACATCTGGGATGTCTTAACATCTGAAAATTACTTTTAAGAACAGAGGGGACCAGTACGACACCCAGGTAATTCATAGTAAGGTAAACTGCAGAATCCCACCCAGAGATTTCTGGCTGACCTGCAGCACATCTTTCAGAACAACACTATCTTCATTTTAAAAATGCCACAAGACTGAGTCTATGATACTTGTCGGTAACAGGTCCCACGGCTGAAATTATTCTCCGGGCAACCACTCCTCCCCCCGCATTATTTCCAGTTTAATTTTTTCCACATCTAGAGGGCAGACGAGTCCTCTTGTATCAGTAAAAAATTTCTACTCTTCTCTTTGGATTTTGAAAGCTTCAGCAGAACTTTGGCTTCTTTTCCGCCTGCTCTCCCCTCCCAGCCTCTAGACTGACCTCATGATAAAACCTTCTTTCAGTTTGGCCACTTACAGGAACTCATAAATTTTCAGAAGTGAAACTTTCGCCCTTGCTCCATAACCTCAACCATGAGGCCATGAATGGCGTCCCTTTATGGGGAGATGCCTTGATTTTAAGCAGTACTGTTTAACAGGCAAAAACTACCGTACTTAAGACTCTGCCAAGTGTCTGTGGCTAACCCCAGGATTCGTGGCAAATTCACAGCACAGTGACAGTGGCAGCACTGACCCACAAGCAACACAAAATCTTTAGTACTGAATTTTTTGAAGTAAAAAATTTACTTTATCACGTAAAGTAAAACCTATGCTAAACCAATGCCTCTTGTCCTGCACAGGAAGCACTTCTCACATAGTACAGAAAATTAGGATAATTCTTCATACCACAAAAGAACCAGAAGTAGGCATGAGTTAGAGTGGGTCCGTTGGGAACACAGAAGACCTGGGAACACTGCTGTGGTGCTATAAAGCTGCTCTTAGTGGCACTGAAGTTTTTGGGGAGCAACCTCATTACTAATGAAGATCATCAGATAACCTTCCCAGCAGCAGAATGAGATTCCTTTGTTTCTCTGCTGAACAGCCAACACTCCTCTCTCATCTGATCTCTCCACACGGGATCATCCCACCACAGTGTATCCTTCCCTCCAACATCAACACTTAAGTCTCCTTCAAGCCCATAGGATCCTCCCTCATCCCCGGGACACATTTACATTTACGAAAAGCCACAGTGAGTTGCAGGTGATCCTCCCCCTACCCCAGAGCCCCTCTTGTGGTTTTTAAACTAAGCAGCTGCTGCTCAGAAAAAGCTGATGCTTTCCACGGCCAGCCCCATTCAGCAATGACTCCAGATGCCCTAGCACAATCTCTGTCTGGACCTCAGCCCAGTGCTGATTATCACTAACTGGTCTCCAGAGCAACTGTGATGCAAAAGGCCACGCTGGAGATACAGGAAGGGGCTAACGCACTGGAAAGGACAACGGAACAGATCATGTCATCAAATCAGGGCAAGGAAACCTAGGACAAAAGGTGTTTTGAACCTCTGCAGCACTGCTCCCCCCCTCCAACCTTTTCAATGCCACTTTGAACGCTGTAAAGCTTTAAGCGTAGCACATACACAGCCAAGGCTGCCCTACTGTAAAACATTCCTAGCCTAAATGAGAGCAAGAGCAGGGGCCATCAGATGGTCCAGACTGATAGCCACGATATAGCATCTGTAACAAGGACCTGCCTCTAAGTCAGCCACATCTGCCAAGGGTCTGGCACACCTGTCTGACGCAATGCATAACAGCTACTGCACATATCACTGTCATCCACATGTCTCCATAGGAAGGATGTGCAGTTTGAATGGCCCCAAGTGAGCTGCTTGAGGGTGTAGACATTTACAAGACCAAACATAGACAAAAATAAATAGTAAAACTCTTCTTCAGCAGTCCAGCAGCTAGCACGTACCTGGCTAACTTCACAAACAGGATGGGGCAAAATTCTAGCTGGAGCCATCTCAAATCCAAAAGGTCTTTGTGGCAAACAGTGAGGAGTCCTGTGGACTCCTTATGTAAACTCTGAAGCATGGTATCAAATTCAACAAAGACGCTATTTATATGCATACAATGGCACATCAGCAGTAAACCAATGCTAGCAACGGACTTGACAAAGAAAAATGCCAGCTATCTATCATTTGCAAACAGTGTTTCCTGTTAAAAACACCTCCACACCCTCACCCCCAACAAGATGTGTAAGAAACCTATGACAGCATATTGCCAGGGAAAGTATTAGAGGCAGTATGAGACGCCAAGTCATAAAATGCTGATGTCTGACCTTTTTTAGGATTATGTTTTGAAACCAAACAGACGTGCTAAGAACAGAAAGTCTTAAACCACGACATTTAGATTTTGCTTCAAGTCCTGTTCTCTTGGTATTTGTGTATCCTAGAGATCACACGCATTTCTGAAGTTAAGTGAAGGGAACCTGGTGTTTATCAGAAGCTGCAAAATCAAAATCTTCAAGTGCAACACAGCCGCGCTGTTTATGTTACTTGCAATTAAAATAAACAGTTTAAAAATAAAAATCTAAGGTTTTCATTCCAGCCAATTTATCCACTACTTCTACCATGCCTCACTGGCACAGCAGACTGCAGCTTAAATTTTAAGCCAACTCCCTCAGGACACATTTTTTAAAGTTCTGGAAGATCTTTAAATAGCTCTTTGCCTAACTAGCAGTTTGGACAGTACAGCTTTGTTATAGATGCTGAGATCAGTACTGCAGGATGTTATCTGGACAGATTAAAACATAAGTCGTCGGAAAGCACCTCTGGAATTTGATAATGCAGTTCTCCAGTCTACTCAGGAGTAAATGCTTGGAACTAGTATACCCATATTAAGCCAAGCAGCAGCACTGAGTAAAACAACTGCCCTGCATTCTCTGCAAGTTAGATCTCATCATTAGAGAGACGGTTTATTGCAGCACGCTTTACTGCATACTACATTAGCTTTACTTCCAAGTTTCTGACATGTTGCAGTAGTCAGCTCATCCTGCCTAGACAGAGTCTGGCACATCTGGAATAGGGTAATTTTCTTTCTTCTCGTGCCTAGCTATTAAATCAGATTGTCATTGCATAGGGCTCACCAGTTACCTCACTTACACTTCAGTACAGTTGCGGTGATGTACTGCTTTATTTCAATCATGTCACAATGCTCTGAAGCAGAAACTCAATTCTTCTGGACAAGAAAGGCTCAGAAGAGAAATGAAAGGCAGGCAGGAGAAAGGAGAATCAGAGGTTTAGAGTAACTCACCGATGTGATAAATCTGTACAAAGGCTGTCGCCTCTCTGTATATTTCACTGTGATGGGGCTCAAATCATAACGAAACCAGATAGCTGGGATAATGCGGCCAGTGTGACTGTAGGCTACGTACTCCTAGAAAAGAAAGTGGGGGGAAAAATGGCAGAAAATGTGAGCAATCTCATTCCAGATAGTGTGTCTGCAATAAAACTGCTTTTGTGGATCTGGCCCTTACTCCACTGTTTGGTACTAATGATCAGACTGAAAGAAGAAAACAGTTAATTCCTGTATAACCTCCTAGCCCTCATTTTTATCAAATAGGAAAACGAGTTCTTCACAGTCTGATAATGATATAGCTGGGAACGGAGAGTGATGGTGCTTACTTTCACCTTCATTCAAAGTTACAGAAGTAAATAGAAAGGCTGTCATTGATTTCTCTAGTTATATCTGCTCCATTTAAACACAAAGAGCCTCTAAGTGGTTGCAGGTTAAGTTTTTGAACAGCCAGAGTATAAATTGCATACTGGGATATTCATCAAACAAAAAGAATTTAGTTTGCAAGAACCTGAAAATCCCTTGTCCATGCACTCAGAACAGCAAGCAGCAGCTCCATTCTGTAAGGCCCCTTCACATTGGGACCAACAACGTGAATGCTTTGCCTATTGAGTATGAATCACATAGAGCCATGTTTAAACCATGTTTAAAAATAATGCTGAAAGCCAAAATGAAGTTGTATACAGAAGAATATTGGCAAAGGTTCAAAAAATATTCCAGACTGGTTCGGGACAGACATCTTCAGACTGCCAGTGATAACCTCCTTTAATCCACTTCTTCAACAACAGGTACAGTGCAATCAATCAGCCACAGGACAACACCCCAACAAGACATGCTGCACAATGCCAATGTAGAACAGACACTAACATCAACTCAGTATCAGAAGTCACATCTTTTTGAGCCAATATTTTGTCCGTGCTCTCAGTGAAAGTATGTATCACTTTTCAAGGATCAGGACATTTATCTTGACAGACTGAAGAAAAGTCAAAGAAAAGTAGGCTGGGGACTCAGCAATCCAGTGAGAGCCATCAGCACCGGCATGACACACATTGCCTCTTTACCCAGCTGCTCTTCCCTTCTTTAGCCCTGTGACATGCCTGCCAGCTCAGATGACCTCTTCTGTTTTAATTCTTCTTACATAGAGGCAAAGATAACCTCAAATACTTCAGAAAGATGAAGAAAGGACAAGCAATAGGACATTCATGAGCATGATACAAAAAAAGATAATTTTACTCTCTGTGAGCTCAGAAGGAGCTAGTGAAACAGCACCTATCTCCTTCATTAATCTCACATAAATCCCAAATTTTCCTCTATTTTTTTTCCCCATGGATGACAAGAGAAGCACAATGAGGCTGAAGTCCCAAATCATAACATTTTCAGGGCTCTTATGGCAGCAGTTCTGCAGCATATCTTGGGACAGTGGCTACTTGGGGAAGTGAGGAAACAGAGGGTTTAGGAGGTAAAAGGGCAGAGGAGACAGACAGCCCACACTTAAAACTCTTAATCTCTCCTTACTAGTCAATCTGTGCCAGACTATTCCAATGGCTTCCAATTTCTGTTTCCTATCAATCAGTATGGGAGACAAGGAATAAAGCACTGACAAGAGATTTTTATATTTTTAATGAGAAGAAAACGCAGAGGCAGCATGGCTTCTCTGCACTTCAGTTTTGATAGAACTGACCTCATTTTTTCCTTCCTCTCCCCTTTTCCTCACCAGCAATCCTGCCCTAATGAAGTCAGTCTTGGCCAAATGCCCCAATCTGCAACCATGCTCACAGAAGTGTCAAACGCTCCTGCTGCCTATTTTCCAAATTACTTTCAGACCTTGCATCGCAAGAGTCTTATCAGAACAACAGTTGTGACATTAAGCAGAACAAATACATTGTAATGTGAATAGAGGGAGACATCCAAATCATTGGGACACACTGTACAAGCAAGCCCAAAAGTCACTAGACAGGAACATTAATCTGAGAAATAGTCCATGAGAGTGTACGCTTGATTCTCACCTATGGCAAACTAGCAGTAGTTAGATTTTATAAAGAGATTCTGGACTGTCATTTAGCACCTGACTGGCAAATTGTTTTAAATTGAAAGAGGCTTTTTACCTTAAAAAGTAAATAAGGTTTTGGTTTTTTTTTTTTAAAGTTCCATACATTGAATTATTAAAATACAAATATCTTCACATTTCATGTGAATTAATTTAAGATTTATAATTTTCATAATCCACTCTAATAAAGTAGGCACTGTGAAATACTTAACCAGTACATATTTGCTGCTGCAGGTTCAGTGGCTTAATATTCGAAATCAGTATTTGTAAAAAGCTAAAAACTGTACTAACTTATTTGTCTGATACATCCATCACAATTGAGACTGTTTTATTAATAAAACTACGTGTAAGTGCTGTTTTGTATGTTCAGCTGAATTGCAATTTCCATCCAGATGCATCTTGACACAAATCACAAGAGCTCCTGCAGCATGAAAAAGTCTCCCACAAAATTTATAGAAATCTAGGTCAGTTAAACCGACATAGGAAAAAGTCAGGAGTAAGAATACCTTTCTAGAATTAAAACAATACCACCACCTGCTCTGACAAGCCCTCACAACCCCAGCCCTGGTAAACGCCAGCACCAGGAGCAACAGCAAGCCCCACTCTGAAGAGCTTCAGTTCCTCCTTCTCCCAGCAGAGGCTACTGCTCACCCACAAACAAATGTACATGGCTGCGGAGCAGAGGAGCGCGTGAGGAGGAACGATGACTGAAGATCCTCCATGCATCCACTGGGTTGCAATGAGGAGCTTCTCTGAGAACTACCTGCTTCTTTACCTTATTTGCTACAGTATATTGATATGAGTATCGCTGCTTGCCGCTCATGTCTTCGTACACCGTCGGGACTATCTTTAAAATGTAATCGTGAGATGCAAGAGCTGTGGTCAGGAAAGGAAAGGAAAATACGCGTTAGCATTCCAAGAAGGAAATCACAGCCTATATAACATTTCAAAGTAAATGTGCAAAATCAACTACAAGTCGGTCATAGAAAAGGTATCTCCCTCCTCCTTATCTCAGGTTCTGTGACAAAGTGACAATTTCACATCCTACATTCATGCCCTTCGTGCAAAACTTTGTAAGGCAGTTGTATGACACCAGCACCTGCCCACCATTCTAAGACTTCTGTAGCACCACAACCCACGGGGATGAGTTTGGGCCACTTGAACTCTTCCTAACTGCTTGCAAGCATAAATGGTAAGCACCACAAAAAGCTGTCCTGGTTAAATCAAAAACTAGCTACAGTTCGAGCTGCAGCTCACTAAGCTTCTATTGACAGAAAACGCTACAGCATCACAACTTGTGTAGTCCCATTTCTTGTGCACCCATCTTTCTTTCTTTCTCTTATTCCTTCTCCTATAGCTGCTTAACTATTTTTTTTTTCATGATTTAAATGGCTTGTGCCATTTTTTTGGTGTCTGCTGAAACAGTTCTAGAACAGAATTCTAAACCATTTATCTGCAGGATCCTTTGGACAAGTGTAACACAATGACATTTGGCTCCTGGAGGGTAAAAAGCTGTCTAGCTTCAGGAACAGCCACAGAAATTTTGTTCCAAGAAGTGGACAAGACTAATATCCTGCAGGAGCCTGAACACTTGAAGGAGAAAAACTACACTGAATTGTAGCATGCACTGGAAATTTCCTTTTGTGTTGCTAGGCATAAAGAAGGGCAATGGAAACATCTACTCGTCCAGTCACGGGGTAGAACTTAAGCTAAGAGCTAACTTGCAACATAAGAACATGGAAGAGTTCTGGTGGTGGTGACAGAAGCAAAGGGAAGCTATAGGAACAGGATATAGATAAAAAAAAAAAAATCAGTAATTCTGAATTGGTCATAACAGAGCTGGAGACAATGTTCAAGTTGCAGAAGGGCTGTAAAGGACTTTTTGGGCTAAGCCTTCTCTATGGTACTGGAGAAAATGGAAATGTCAGTCAGCAATGTCAGGATCACTTTGGTTAAAGAGGTAAATTAAAGACTCCTGGATTCACCACTGTTGCATGAATGGCCCTGTTTTCCCTCCTGCAGAGTGGCTAAGACCTGTAATCATCAAGAATACATACGATTTGAGCTGAGTTTGTCTGCTCCCTCCAAGGCATTGAATGCTCCATGAACATTATGGACCTGGAAAGCAAAAAGGTGTATGAAGAAACTGTGCTCCAACTTGATACTCTTGATCTTTGTTTCCCTATCCTAGCCTGTAACCCAGAGATGAGCCTGATTCAACCTTTCCAAAAACAAAGCCTTAACCCAGTAAAAGATGACTTGAAATATCTTTCAGTGACCATCACCACAGAGGTTGGTTCCAAGGAAAAAAGTTGATTTCACAATGTCTTACAAGATGAAACTCCAAAACCACTCCAAAGCTAAAGGAATTGCAGTTGGAAGAGGCCAGTTGTGAAATTTCTTTGTGAGGTATTTCCTAAGACCTTTGCATAGTTAACCGTGAAATGATCAGTCTGAAAGGGAAATAAATGGGAGTCACATTCAGGCTAAAACTCAAGAGTTCTCCTGTAAAGATAGCTCATGTCAGAGCAGTTGGGCTTGTGCAGCTTTAACTCGTTAGCCCAGTTTTCACACCACGCACACTATGCCCTTGGAGATGGGAAGGACACATGCCAACGCTGCCATCCATTCAGCTTTTCCTGCAGCTGGTCCCAGGCACGCAAATATCTGCCCAGAATAACAGGATTTCCCTCCCAGGCCTTCCACATACTATGATCTGGAGTCTGATGTCCACCAACAGAATAATCAATTTGTGAACACTCTGGACAAGGAAAATCCCACAGCAACAGCTGTAGATTAGAAGTTGCATCATTCACACAATGTACAGTAACCTATACAGAAAGGACAAATAACTCCACAACCTAGAAACTCCCGACCTTAAGCCAGACAACAGGGAAGAAGAGTTTAGAAGAATTATTTGGTCATAGGTGTGACAGAGTTTCACCTCACTAACACGGCAATGCAATCGCTTTCCCAGACCCTCTCAACAACTGACAGCATGTGCACGTATTTGTCTCATCCTAATGGCTTTTTCCCTATTCTGAATGCTACAGAGTGAATGATGGTTTGGAGGAAGCAGTAACTAAACCCATTTCTCTCCTTAGAGGAAATTCTAGAGAGACAAAATCATCAGCAAATTCAACTGTCAAGGTGCTGGTAACAAGCACAGAGCAAAAGCAACAGCTGAACCTTCTACAGTGCCTTTCAGTCTGCTGGCATTTCAAGTATTTCACACAACAGCAACCATTTCTGAACTACACATGCAGACTGTACATATTCTTTACTCATCATAAAAGCCATATGATGAAAGAGAAGCCCCTGAACTGGGCTACAGTATTACGTTCCACTCTCGATACAGCTGAGAAGTAAGTCTCTTACCGCATATCTGGGCCAGAGACTTTAAGGTCCACTACAAACACTCTAACAGTAAATATTTGAGTGGCTGGCTCAGCAAATGACTGTATCTAACCTGTGAGGTACCTGTATATCTGAACTTACATTCTTGTTCTTGGCTCCCCAGCATCCACACTTGTGTTTATATGTAAAAGTTGTCTGCTCTGCATCATGCTACACAGTGAGTTTGCAAAGCTGCGAATTACAGGGATACCACACAGACAAGGCCCAGACATCTCCACAACCGTCTGTTTCTGTGCCATCAGGTCCTTTGGTGCATCTGCCTCTCTTGTCTTTGCAACATAGATGGCATTTGTAATTCCCAGTCTGATGTTTTACCATGATTTTCCTTGTGGAATATTCTCGACTCTCATTACAATACTTGCTGTCCGTAGATTGCTAATTAATCTCTGCTCTACAAAGTGCACAGGTGTGTTCCTTGGGGGAACATACTTGTTTGTACCTTGTTAAGTACCTGGAGGGACTTCAACAAGGAGTAAGCTTTTGGCCACGGCAACAAAACTGCTTTGCAACAGAGAACTTAGGCAAGCCTGTCTAGCCAGACATTCTCAGGACCGTGCCACACTACCAAGGCCAAATCTAGTGCTTGGAGTAGTGGCACAGGAGGCTAGTCAGGGGTTTAACAGTGCCAACTCTTTATTCTCCTGCAAGACGGACCTCGAAAAGAGGCTTGCCAGGGCCTTGAACATCCTGGGCTTTAACCTCTACAAACAGATGCAAAGACATACAGCTGGACACGTAACTTGGGCAGAGTCCAACAGCAGGCTAAAATAACTTCCTTCCAACCTTGCAACTATCAAGGGAAGACAAGACCTCTCACAAAGGTTAAAACTAGGATTATTCAACACCAGGATCTAGCACTCAAGAGAATTCTATGATTAAAAATGTATAATCTCCTACTTTCCACATCTCTCTCTTTACTGGTTAATTGTCATGCAAGAACCTCATTGGTTTGAACTTTGGTCTCGTTTACATGAGGGGAAAAATCTGCCACTATTGTGCATGAACTACTGTTGAAGAACTGAAGCTCATTCAACGCCAGATGAGATTTAAATCTCTATTTCAAACAGACTGTTTCTTCTGGAGAATACAGCATGTACCTTAGTGGATCATTCTGGCAGAGTTGGTAACAACCTACAAAGAACTAACTACCAGCATATGACACAAGTGAATGAGAAGCTCCTCACCTTCTTAAAGACATATGAGCACATATTACATCAAAGCAGGTGGAGACAACCCAAAATATTCAAAGGTGTATCTAGATAGATTTAAAGCTCGCCGTACAGCTCTCTACACCGCTTGCTGAGTCTTGGTAGCACCTCTTTAGCGAACGTATCCTTCTTTCATTTGTGCTGTTGAACTTATGTCTGCCTACAGGATCAGCAGCACCTACATGCTCCATTCTTGGGTAAGGAGATGATGAGTAGTTATTTTGAACTCTGAAAATACTAATCAGAACTGGAGCCAACTACATGTTTGCTAGACAGGTTTCTCACCACCAGAACAGAGGACGCTCCTTTGCCCCCAACTGTCCAGGCTTCTCATCTTATTCATGCTGATTCGCACTTCAGCTCCATTACTCAAAGACTCCATGATAAAACAATGGGAACGCTACCTTAGGAGTACTGATTTCCCACGCAAACTGCAGAACTCCCTATTAGCACTTAACTAATACTTTTCATAATCTCAGTGTGCTTTACAGACATTAAGCCAAGCTTATTTATATGCTAATATTTCAGCGTTCCCACACAAGATATTTCCTAAAAGAAGCCGGGAGCAGAGTCAGAGGACTACAAAGCAACGCTTAGACTTGTTAGCATGAAAAAGGGTTTTGGAAGTGGGTGTACAAGCAGCAGACTAATGAGACGTCTGTGCTGAGGAAAGAAGATTACAGAGAGACTATGGGTAAGCAATGTTTAGGGTGAGTCGCAAACTGGGTGTGCACATATATAACTCCCACCTATGATGCTAGCTCCTTGCAAGTAGGCTAGAGAAGTGCTGTAATCTGTCCTTATTGAGAAATCAGGAATTATTACATAACTTGCAACACCTGGTGAAACTCTATCCACAGGGCAAACACACACATTCAGCTTCTTCCCAGCAGGGAACTGGCAGTTCTAAGTCTAACTTGTGTTTCATAGAACAAATTTGACTAATAGGTGTTTGCTATAGAAGTACGGCGAAGTGAATTAAAAAGAACTTGACTGGTGCCATGGTAAAGACAGTAGCGAGCACACATCTTTCCTTAGTATACTCACTGCTCTGCAAAGGCAGTCAAGATTTGTTTGCTGTATTAATACCGAAAAGTCCTGCGTAGGGTTTTGCAAAATCCTCATTTCTACTCCCTACAGGAAGAGAGCCCCCCCAGTTTTCCAAAAGCACTTTCAGTTTCAGATGAAAACAGCAAAGTTACTCTATGACTGAACACTGCTTCTTCCCGAAGCAGTGGCACATAAACAGTTTGTGAACTCTTCCAGACTGAGTGTACATTGCATGAATGCAAGGGATGGGCTTGCTTACCCAGGCAGTCCTTTCTTACGTGCTCCCCACCCTACATGGCCCTTCCACAAAACCAAAGTGTCTAACATTAAAGTCATTCTCATTGCATTCATTCCCCTAGAGCCAGGGAATTTTCAGGAACACGACCTCACCTGTAACTTGTCCCCAAACGAGAGCTTGTGGATGACATGAGTCATGTCAGGATTCTGAGGCTGTGCAGTGGCACTGTGCGTCGACACGTGAAAGTTACCAGGGACCTAAAATTAGTCAAGACAAGGAAGACAGGATTTCACATTTTATCCCTCAAGGCATTGTAAGGCTCTGTGATAGGAAGCAGAAATGCCTGGATCCATCCAGCTTGGCAGGCTGTATCTACTCAGCAGTGGACAGCCTCTGGCATGTCAGAGAAAGGCTTTGAAATACTTTCCTGCACTTGACCAATACCACCACACTGCATACAGAGTGGAGACTGGTTACATCCCACAGCCCAAGAGTCTGGCACCCTCATATAGCTACTGCTGCTGACTAGGAAGTGATGAGTGGACCACTCCCAACTTTAGGGATTCCTAACACTTAAGGCTATGTCTTTCATATCTATTAAAATAAGATTCGTGTCTCTGACAGGCAACAAACAGTTGCATAACATTTTACTCCCACATCTTGCATTTGTAAATGGACTCACTGCTGCAGAACAACCCAAGAAAACTATGGATACATTCTTATTGTAGTATTGCCCATGAGCAACCTTACATTTGAGAAGACTGTGCATAAGAATGAGTTTTATATGACATCAGAAGAACCCCACCAAAACCAATGGGGCTGCCCATACAAACTAAGCTAGATCTTCAGCTTCTAGCCCTGGCAATAGCCAAGTACAGGATTTTCTGGTTTTAATTTTTTAAACAGAGGGAAAGAAAAAGTTCTGAAAAACACAGATTCCACCTAAGCACTCAGTTCCAAGACAGAAAATGAGCACTGGTGTCATTCTGACAGGATCACTGTAGCATGCACACACTTTTCAGGTCACTAGCCCCGCTCTATGAAGTCTTTCAGCAGATTCGGCTCAATCACTGTTACAGAGGGTGCAAGAATTTTTTTCTGTTGAGAAAAGGTTGGGAAATCAAGCAACACTGAGGAGCAATCTGAAATGGCCTAAGATGAGAGTGGGAGGATGGTTATACAACTGGCGCCCATTCTGCACTCTGCAGAGCCACCTCACCAGCAGGGCCACAGGAGGCCACATGCCAGTTCCATGTGCTTTCAAGAAAGCTAATTTAAATGACTTGAGGAACAGCAGGGCACTCCTGGGAACACTTTCAGGTGTGGACACAAGCTGTGTCATACACAAGCTCGGTAAACAGGGTGGCAGACTCTGCAGTAAGTAGTGCACACACTCATCTCACTGTTACCTTGTCCTCACTCTTCAGGTTTGAGAATAACACCCAAGTGCAACCCTTGGACAAGTTTCAAAGCCTGGCCATGTTCCACTCCAGATACCAGTTCATATAGAAGCTTATACAATTTCTGCCAAGGGACTGAAGACTTCCAGCTCACACATGAGAGGTTTAGGTTTTCAGAGCTAGAAGCCCTGGGTCAGGTCCCCTATCCCTGACAGCAGTCCCAACCACTATATGCAACAACGCAATTAGGGGCCTTTCACAGATTAAGCAGTGCAGGGAGCTCCTTACTGCCACATACAGCAAACACCTTTTGAGTCGCTTTGGTGAGAACACACCACATCCAGCAGACAAGATCGCAAGTATTTCAGCTCTGCGCTTTGGGAATTAACAGAACAAGAACTACCTTTCAAGAAGCCCTTTCCCAGTTTTGTGGACTACCAGCTGCCAGTAATCTTGGTGGCTTAGAGGCGAGGAAAGAAACGTCCTCTTTTTAAGTCCCTAATCCTTTCCATGCCACAGAATCAGTAAGAGGTTCTGCCTGTTATTTTTAGATGCGATTTAACATGACCTGGGAGGAAAAGAAGGAAGTAGGATTTTGTAGCCTGTGGTACACGAGGAGGCGTGAATAAAGGGTGTGCCCTTCTTAGGACATCAGTGGGCCCCACCACTGCCTCCCCCACCCCAGCTAGTCATCTCCAACATTACATAGCAAGATTATTCAATTCTGAACACACCCATCCCAGAGAGGAGCCTCCTCCAGGCCTGGATTTTCATTCTTTGAGCCAGAAGCGGAGCATCCCGACAAAGCATGCGCAGAGGCCGCAGGCATGCATTCAAAACATCTCAGCACGGAGCTGCTTCTGTTCTGCTGGCACCCTCTAGTAGGGAACATTCCTGTCATTCTGCGGCTCTCGGAACAAAAGAGCACTTGGATAGAGATGTTGCCAAAGACCTCTGCACAGTGTGTCACGTTTTGGAGGTGCAAAAGTCATGACGAGTAAACACAGAAGCCATTCGGCATTTGTAGGGAGTTCATACATCCCCTAAACATTAGGCTGCTGCACTGGAAGAGACAGCACTGGCCACGACACAGAGCTGCTCTCTGCTGTTAAGCAATGCTATCTAGATTACCTGTTTTGAAGAGCGAAGAAAAAGCCTGATCTAACACATTCTCTGTGGGTCTAACTACACAGCCACCTCTGCCCACACTGTTCTGCAGCACTGAGAGACTTGACCTCACCACTGATTAGGGCCATGAACGTACACTCTACAGGAGAGACACTGATGCACAGATTTTCACGAGCATTTTACAAATGGATCTTGCTAGCATTTCTCCAGCCAGCACACACTCACCCACTGCCATACTCACCTTGTTGATGCTGAAATGGCCCTCAAACCTGCAGCCATCCCCATTATTGAGAGGTATCTTCATCGAGTTGTCAATATGACCCACTTCATGCCTTCCCATTTCATCTTGGATGTCTAGTCCAACTACTGCATGGGTGGGAGGAGAGGAGACAAAAATCAAAACAAAAGAAATAACAGGAATGTTGCACAGAAAAAGTATGCATTGCTTTTACTGGGAAAAAAAATACACACCTTTTTTCCTGAAATTTGACTAAACTATGCTAGTAACATAATTCGTGAAAAATTAATTGTTATACCAGCTCTTCAGAAAGAACTTTATAACCAAACTTTTCAGACTGCCTGACACAAATACCCTGCCGGCTGACTGAAATCTCAATTATACAAATAGAAAAACTTCAGGTGGACAAGGCAGGTGATTTGTGAAAAGCCAACAATCAGCTGGTGCGTTCAGAGTTACAACTGAAACTTGGGAGGTTTCTTGTTCCCAGAGACAAAAAGGTCACTATGGAAAAAGAAAACAAGATTTAGAAAGAAGCCAGCGAGGGAGGTCAGCCACTAACACAGGCTGCAGAGTGAGCACAGGGTCCAAGAAAACAGGTGTCCTGGCCTGGAACAGAAAGTGATGGGGTATTGGCAAAGGCTGCAGCTATTTGATCTCCATCCGCTCTATTACAAAAGAAGGGCCACTGTACCAGTTTGGGCCCATTTCAAGTATTACTTAAAATACAGAGAAAAGCTGGTAAGTGAAAAGGGCTACTCACGTTCACAATGCAGGTTTGGCAAACTGATGTTCAGATTCACTTCTATTTTACCTCCACTGTCTTTGTCTGGGTCATCTACGTAGAGCTCATTGACTCTGTAGGACAGAAAACACAGATGGGTTCAGGCACATAGCTACTTTCCACAGGAAAACCCCAACAACTTGCATGGGAAGTGAAAAAAGGAGACTTGGAAGCACGGGGTTTGACTGTGTGACAGCTGCAACAGAGTTACAAGACAGGAAAAGCCCTCCACAGCTGCATGGGGGCAAATAATGATTTAAATTTACTTCTTGCTTGGTGAGTGCAGGAGGCTTTAAACAAGTCCCTTGCACCAGCAGAAAACAAAACTCCTGCTCTGATTTGTGCTTCCTGCCCCCTTCCCTAACCTGAGTTTCCGGAGGTAATACAAAACAAGAACCTAATGTTGAAGAGTGGCATGCTCATGTGCTAGCCCTCTGCATACCTAGGCTGTTACTCCTTTTAGGAAAGAGGGAAGCATGTGCTTTTTGATTTGTTTCACAAGTAGTTTTAGAGAAAGGCCACTCTCAACTATCCTACAGGAAAGTATATTTGTGTAAACTAATTGCCATTTTTTATTGCCACCCAGTTGACAGAGCAGTGGCAAGAGAAGGCAGTATGGCATACTTGTACCTCCCTCCTCGATATCTCATTTCAATCTGTGAATGGTAACCAAAAGCAACAACTAGAATTGAAGAGAAGAGGGTTTGAGCCAGGAACAGATGGGAAGAAACATCCTGGACAGCAGGATCTAACACACTACACAACCGTCTCCCAAAGAGTAATGTTGTTTCATAGCACCCACAGTGCTGGCACGTATTTCACAAAGACAAAATACAGATACAGAGTAAAAGAAATACAAGAGTATAAATATTTATTGTTGGCATATACAATCCATCTGACACGTAAAATATAAACACCAATACAAGCACAGCCGAATTAGTTGAACGTTCCTAAAGAAGCCACTCCAGGGAAACCCACCACACTGAAACGACAAGGTGGCGAGATTACCTAGCAGCTCTTTCTCCCTCAAAGTCCAACACTGTTCAGCCTCATCAAATAAGAAGATTTGACAATTTATCTTCCAGACGGACAGATTATAAAGCTATGGGAACTTATGTGCAAGCCACATAAAAATAAACTACCTTCCCTAGTAAGCGCTCTGTATTATTTTTATTTGATGCTCAAGGTGCGTGAAACCCTTTGACAAGCCCTTGCCGAAAAGTCTATATGCTAATAGACAAACCTGACTAAGGGCAGCTACAAGACGGATTCAAAGCGATTTTGCTCTGGTGATCCATCTCTGGACCATAATGAACTGTTTGCCCTGTGGATTCAGAAGAAACAAGCCTTCACACTGAGAAGTGTACAGCTGCCAATTTTTTTTTGCAGGTAATTACTCACAGGTCAGTGGGGTTTACAGACACTAATTTAAAACCAGCACAGCATTTGTCTTCAGCTTCACAGCCCTACCTTTCTCTGATTTTAATTGGCTTGACAAGTTGCTTGCAATCGTTACTCAAGGTATTTTTCAAGTGATTAATAAAAATGACACAGAGGGAGGGGAAAGATTGCTCATCAGTGACCTAGTTAGAAGCTTCTTGGCTGAGCCCTCTTCTCTCCTATGGAATGCTTTAAATCTTCTACGTGTCTATTACTGGTAGATCAGGTAGTGATGGGGATTAAGTCATATGTCCAAATATGGTTGTGAGGAGCAGCTCCAGCCAGGACAGGCAATAATCCCCCAAAGCAATGCACCTTTCCGTGCTTCCCGAGTCCTCCCATCAAGATCCCAGTTGCCAGCCAACCTGTTTCATAACACCATCTGGCTTCTTCCCAGCTCTCTGCCATCTGAGATGTGGGCCATGCCCAGCCAGTGCCGCGGGCAACTTGATGTTACTGGCAAAAAGGAACATTTGTGCTGGGGCTGGCAGAGAAGTGCATCAGCTTCAGCAGCGTTGCTGAACATCCCAGCTCTTTGGAGGAAAGCTCTAGGAAGGTCAATGTTTGTATTTGCGGATTCCCAGTTCTGAACCTGTCAGAAAACGTGTGGTCAGGTGTAGTCTGTAAGCAAAGGCACATGAGCCTTTCAGTGATAAGCGAGTGAGAAGTGGTTGCTCGTAGAAGTCAAAGGATAAACTGTACACAGGGAATCTATGGAAGCTCTTACATAGGAAGGCAAGTGGTGAGGTCACTCAGTTGCAGACTGGATCACTGAGGCAAAGAGAAGTAGGCCAGTTTGGCCACGTCACACAGCCCATTAGTCGCAGATAAAGGAAACTGGTTTCCTGTCCTGCACTCTGGTCACTGGACCAACGGTTCCCAACCTGTCCCTTGGGCAAGGCTCATGGCCACTTCCTCCTCCTCCTCTTTACCTAGTAGCCCCTTGCCCCTCTCCTACTCATGTTCCCAATTTCAAAACCCTATCTATCATGCCTTAGATATCTGACAGCTCATGACAGTCTGTCCTTCCTTCCCCTCCCTTGGACCTGCAGTGCTGCCTTCCATGGAGCACCCTACCTGATGAACCCTGGTTCTCCCTCCCAGCTCTGGCCACTGCCTCCTCCTGGCAGCACCAGCTCTTGCAGAGGGCCCACGCTAACAAACCCAGCAAGGTTTCTTATCAGGGGCTCCAAAGTGCACCCTTTGTGCTGACCTGCTCTGCGTTACTGAGGTTCCCTCTCACTCGCAGGGCACAATGACAACACACCACAGGCTACGTTTGCTGGGGCAAACCTCAGAAGAAATGTCATAATTTTCAACAAACTGGAAATTTCACTCCCAAAATACATTCTGGAAACCTCACAGGCAAAGCAAACTTCCAGGGTCAAGGCTACTCTTTCCAGGATCGATCTGTGAACCACCACCTGGATGGAGCTGGCAGAGAACTGGCACTCCTGCCTCCCTTGCTATCCTCCTCCCCAGGGCCAAGGAGTCAAATTGCACACAGCCTTCCTACTATTTAATCAGACAATCCTGGGATGTTGGGAAAAGCACTATTTACCACCTCTGGCTGCTCTCCCTGAAGGGATAATGTCTCCAGTGGAAGAAATGAAGCTGGCTCTGATTTATAGCTGTCCATCCTGGAACACAGAGTATCCCAGGAGTAACAGTGAATCTGTTCAACAGTGAATCTGGGACAGTCACATGGGAAATAAAACCCAAGGTCAGGCAGAAGGGCACTGTAAATGCAGCTGCTTCTATGGCTGTTTAGAGAGGCAGAGTATAGGGCTGTATTGTGATCCAAAGATGGCACGTATCTCCTTTGAAGACCCTTAGGAGCTGGTATTGTACTGGTTGCTGTTAAGGGCTATTTGAATAAAAGTGACAAAATAAAGCAGGGGTAAGGTGCAGAGCTATGAAAGTATGAGGGCAATAGGACAGGTGAGAGGTGGACCTCTCCCCCTGCCGGCCTCCCACCTCTGAGTCAAGGAAAGGGAGGAAAGTTTCTCCATGCAGCAGGAGCTGTGATCCACACAGAAAGAATGTACTTCACTTCTAGAAAGAGCCACTTCAAAATACTTCACATTCCCGAGTGGTGCTGCTAGGCTTCTCAGTTACTTATCCCATTCGCTTACAAACTTGCAGCATTACACAGAAAAAGTTGGAGGGACTCTTTGGCTAAGATTGCAGATCATGCAAATGGCACGCGAGAGAGAATGAAACGGGGAAACAACAGCAAGAAGGCTCAGCATTTAAGAATTTAACCAAAGAAGGCCAGACCAGTTCCCCATGCTTTAGGACTTAGATCTGGCACAACAGCTTTATTTCCCCAGAAACAAAATTTCCCCAGTAACTTATTTCCACCCAGCAGCCCTGGCCACTAACAGTACACTTCAACTGAAGAGTTGCAGCCCTTTGAGTACAAGAGGAGACACGCTCCATGGACCTTTCAGAGCTTCATACGCTGCCTGGGTGCTCTCTAAACACATCTTCCTTGTCCTGCGTCCTCCTTGTCTTAGTCTATGCTTCAAGTTTTAGCCTTTTTTCTCCCTCTTTCACAGCAAACAACCAGGCACCCTCCTCCCCAGTCATCAGCCACACAGAAAATACAACCACTTACTCCAGCAAGCTGCATTTTACCTTGTCCTCCAACTCCCAGAAGGCACTCTCTGATCTCCAGGACCCTAAGCCTAAGAGGGAAAATAATTATTCTTTCTTGAGGGAAACCAAAGCTTCTCAAAAGACTTTCTCCAGCAAGCTCACTTGGCTTCACTTGCTGTTTCAGGTTTCATCAACCACCTTCCAGAAACACAACCATCCGGAGCTGAGATTCCTGCGCTATTGTCTTTTCAGCTGCGCCAGAGAAGACCCAATATAGGACAAACAACCCATCTTCTCAATTTGTGCAAAGAAACAATAAGCAGGTCAGCAAATTCTCTACCGTGTAATAAACTGTGCGTATATCTATTGCTCTGCCACTTGTATCTTCCTTCTATGCCCTGAATCTCAATCAGTTCTTCACTGAGGAGGTCTTTGTCCCAGATTAGGTCTTGGCTCAGCTGTGAAGCACAGAAAACACACTGTCCTACAAAGGAAGGAATTACAGGAGGCAGGAAGAAGGAGAAGGGTTCGAAAGACGTCAATGTAGATTTGAGTCAGAAATTGCGAATGACATCATGACACGACCTTCCGCTTCCTGCTAACCCACACACGTACATTAGGACTAACGGCATAACAACACTTCACAAATATATAACACCTTTATTAGGTAATCTCCAAGTTACTACGCAAACATTAATTAAGCTTCTTAGCACCCCTGAGAGGTAAGCAGCTAAGTATTACGTCCTTCTACAGAAAACTGTCTGTCTCAAGGTCAGTCCATGGCAGGAGCAGGATTACAACTCCCATTCCCCTTTGACTACTAGGCTGCATTCCCTATGCTGGTCTAGTTTGCTCCAGCATTTCATCCGCCTCAACTGGATGAGCTGGTGGAGTTGGAATTGCATCTCCAGCATAGCGGCAGAAGATATGAGTTGCAGCATTGTGCTCCCAGTGCAGACGGCTTTTGCTCCGAGGTTATGGTTTCCAGCAGTAGGAACTATTGTTGCACCAGGATCACACTCTGCTGCTTACA